AGAGAGAGAGAGAGAGAGAGAGAGAGAGAGAGAGAGAGAAAGAAGAGAGATAAAGAGAAGAGAGACGCGCTTTATAAATCCCGGGGTGCAGCGTCGATGCAGCTGCAGATCAAACGCAGGCAGGCACGCACGCGTGTACGGCGCATACGGGCGCGCACGTCGGGGTTCCCGTTTTAATTTAAAATTCCTTTTTTTTCAACAACGCACACACACTTGTAAATATTTTTGTTTCCTTCGTTTAATCCCTCGCCGTCTCTGTAAACCGAAATATTTCGGGCCACCCGCGCGGACGTTTTGCCGACGTTGCGCGCTCGCTCGCAGTTTTCCGACACAAACCACCCTCTCCCTCCAACCCTCCCGGCCGTTGGTCGTCCCTAGCCGTCGCGACTCCCGTCGCCGCGGTTCTATATGCGTATGTGCGTGTTTGCACGCGCGACGCGCCTCGAAATATCCGCCGCCGCCGTGCATAATACGAGCAGCCGCTCGTAGATACACTTAAATTGGATGCGGGGAGAAAGAGACAACTCCCATCTGCCGAGTTTATGGCATTACCGCGCGACGGCGGCCGCATAATGGCGGCCGATCAACTGTTTGTATGTGCGTATGTAAATATATATTGATCATTTTGAATTACGCAGAGTGTATCACAAGGAGGTGGAATTTTGACAAAATCTTTCATTTGAACTACTATACTATATAATATACTATATACTATATAATATACTATATATTATACTAATATAATATGGTACAATATACTATACAGTATGGTACGGTAATACTCAATAGATTACCCAAGAACAAAGAATATTAGATCTTAGATCAACATCTTAAAATATTAATTTTACGGATGTCATTTGAACATTTCTGTTCAATATTTTAAAAACATTTTAAAGATATCACCGAATAATACAATCGCATTGAATAGTGTAAAAATGTTTTAGAAATATTAAAGTGTCGAAGTTATTCATTAATAATGTTAATACAACGTTAAAAGCTACATATTAGAAAACGTTACGTATCACTAAATATCGTTGCAATAACATTCTATTAATAATTTTTTGCTTACTGGGCATGAGGAAACGTTTCTTCTAACTTTGGCGCTCTCTGGTAAGCAAATCAAGGCCCATACAGAAAAACTAATATCACCATGTCTTTTTCACTCAAAAAACTGAAGAAAATAGCATAGGTGCGATTCAAAATAATACATTGTTAGAGTGATACAAACGCGATAAAATTAATGATTCCATTGTAACAGTTAAAACGATTTCAGTGGTGCGAATAATGGTCAAAAGCGGGTCTCCTTGGACGGTTTGGTCTTCTCGTTCTTCTCTTTATCTTGCAAGATTTGTCTTTTCGCTCTCTGTCGCTCTGGCTCTCGCCGATAGCCACAAGAAAGTTTCTCTTTCGATAACTCCCTATCATCGCTTTTAAACCAAAATGCGCATACAACGCGCAATACAATACTTTCGCTGTAAAATGAACAAATCGAATCACACGTATTTTTTTCTTGTTGGAATTCGTAAAAATTACAATGTCGGATATGTGCCTTATGCGTTACCATTTCTTATACTGAATAATTTTTTTAAAGCTACTGAACTAAATTTTTTAAAGTTAGTTTATATAAGATATTTCGTCAAATAAAATGTTATTTTGAACAGTTATATATCAAAACTACAGAACGGAATTACACAAAAGAACGAAAAATTAAGAAATTTTGAAATTATATTTTAACTGTAATATAAAAATATTTGGATTTTTTATTTAAACATCTATACAGTCATTCATACAACTTATTTCAATACAGTTTTAATTCTTTTTCTACGATGCATTTTAGAACATAGCCAATCGTCTAATATAAAAATTTATGGTCGAAAATTTTCACTAATTCCTAGAATTTGAGTACTCTCATATAATCATTGGCTATATTCAGAAATGCATTGACAAAATGCTCAAAAAATATTGAGACAAATTGTATATGTGCTACACTTTTACAGAAAAACGGGAAAGGATCATAATATATATTTACTAAAGAATGTATACTATTAAAGAAGATTATTTCATTAGCGATTATGGTTATTCAATTTACCATAATCGATAATAACTCGTACGACACTGAAGGCCGGTTTCTCAATTTAAACATGGATTTCGCAGTTTAAACTTGATTCAAGATTAAACTCTATTCTAACAACGCGTTTGTTTTGTTTAAACAAAGTTCAAGTTGAAATCTAAGTTTAAAATATCATTGATAAACTAATAGTTTCCTGAATGTTTCATTAAAAAAAAACAATAAAATAACTAACTAAAAAGCTAACATAATAATAATAAAATAACTAACTATAATAATAACACCTGATCTTCAGAATTTGATTGAATCGGTTATGTGATTTAAAATCATAAATACATAAAAAAATGCGAATTTCGGTAATATAATCTACCAGCAGCACAGATATGATATGGCCTACAACCGCAGAATTTATTTTTTCTGTATAATGGATTTCTGGTTATATCTGTTACTTTTTCTATCTCTTTTATATTGTATCTCATTTTATCTTCATTAAAAACGGTTAAAAGTAACGGACATTTTTGTGCTATTATTGTTGGAATAGATGTATACCATGTTCCAAACGAAGACAAATTTTTGTCCAGTATTATGATCACATTTGGTTGTTTAAATGACTTTAAGCGCGCATAACTGTGGTACGGCTCTGATACATTTTCAACATAAAGCTTCTGATTATATTTACGGCACCTTGAACAAACAGTCCCTAGTTCGCGCGATTCGAATATATGCGATTCTATAAATACAATATATAATTCTTTTATATTAGAAAAGAGATGTAGGAAAATATGCCAAACTTTTAAACACATTACATCTATTTTAGTTGATTCTATAATATGGATGATAAATTTGTAAGAACTTTGTGGAAGACATAATAAATTTGATTCCTGTAACGCGTAGTGTAATGTCAAAGGATTGGTTACATAATCTGAACATATATAATGTTCAAATGACCAGAAAGTTTGGATAGGAGAGTAAAGTTTTTTTTTATTATTATCTAGTTCTTCCATGACTAAATACCTGTTAATAAATGTAATCATGTTATGATAGGGTCTAGCATCAGGAAATTTGGTAAACTCCAGTTTTCTTAGACATAAATGCAAAAGATTGCTTTTCATACAGGCGATATTAATGTTCAATACTAGTAACAGCTCTTTACAGATATTTTTGTGTTCCAGATTAAATAACATTTGGTGATCATCACAATAATTAGCTGAAAAGCAAATGATGCATGGCTTTAAATTTATCTGTCGATGACACTTATAACACGATTTTGCGAATATTATCACATTTATATCTATACTATCTTTGATCATTTTGCGCACAGTCATTTTTGTTATAATTTTCGTCCGTGAACTTAACCATTTTGTTAAATCTTCACATAAATTCCAATCCGATTTGTCTATTATTTTTGCTAAATTTCTGCAGAAATTCAGATGTGAGTCTTTATGTATCCTTTCATGGTTTTCAGAACAATAAAAAATCATATAGCACTGATTACATGGTATTAAATTTTTACTGGGCAGTTTGCAAACATGACAAACGTTTGGATTAAAAAATTGATTGTATTTGTCTGCTGTGTATGGCCCATCAAAAGTTATTATTCCTTCTATACTCATCGCGATATGTCTTAATGATTACTGTTTATGAGTATTTCATTTGTAAAATTTACTTCGACATAACGCGCGAAGCTCGACAACTCACCGAAACATGTATGTGAGTTATATATAAATGTTTAGCTGATAATAATACAAGGGACACTAATAATATATACAAGTATGTTTGTATGTAACGAAAAAGTTGTTGACAAGATAAATTGTAACTGCCAATATAACAAACTAGAAGTATTTGTTAGTGGAAAGAAACAATATTGCAAATATGGTATATACAATTAAATTGCTACAATTTCACTAGAAGAACAATGAAATAGTTATCACTTGTATAACACGGATACGTTTTAAAAATAATATTTATAAGCCTCAATAAAAAAACATTCATTACAAAAAACCTTATAAAATTTGTTGCTTTTTGCAAAAAATATTTGGTTTGAAAAACATACAAAAAAATGCTCTCAATTAAATATATGGAGATAAATATGCGATTATCAATATTCATGTAAACATTTTTATATAATTAAGCAATAACTTCGAAGAAAAGATATATATTAACGTGAGGCAGCTGTGTTGTTAATACAAATAAATTTTCTTCAAGCGTAAAAGAAAATGTGCAAGCATCACAAATATCTAAAACAAATCTTAAAGATATTATAAAGACGTCTACAATAAATATAATATCATCAGACGTCTCTAAGATATCTTTTAGATTCTATATATATATTTTGATTTAATAGGGTATGAACTCGTTTTCTCCAATACATTTGAAGATATAGCCGATAGTCTGTATTACGAAAGAACTTCTTCGCACAATGTCTAAAATCGGGACATGAGTCTGATATTCTGACGTCTTTATGACGTCTTATGCGTCGTCTATATTGGCAGTAGAAGTAGCAGTAAGAAATAAACAGTAAGCAAATTGATCAATTCCTTTCTCACGTTTAAAAAATAATCGATTGTGATTGATCTATTTACGTAATGCTTATTTCTTATTACTACTAATTACTACTACTCCTATTGCCATTGTAGACGACGCATTAGTATCTAACATCGCTATAAGCTTTAAGCCTTAAACAACTGATCAATCATAGTCAATTATTTTCCTTACGTCTCAAGAATAATCGATTGTGATTAGTCAGTTAGTAGTTGCTTATGATTTAAAGCTTAAAGCGAGGTTGTAGACCGAAACTTATATTCCGATTTTATATTGTTTGAGTTTTAACGTAATTACCTTAAGTTAAGTTTTGTCATTGGATAATTTATTACGTTCAAGCGCACATAGGAGATATGTTCATATTGAAACAAATTGCGCATATGTTATATATTTAAAGGAAGAATAGAGATAATATAATATATTTGGAAATAAATTTATTAAAAAATTCAAATTTTGTTTGCAGCTATGTATACAGTTACGAATAATATATAATAATCGATGGCACCAGATTCGGATAATAGTTTCGGATATATTTTTTTCTATTTCGATATTTTTTTGGTAATTTTTATTGTAATATCAGTGTAATGAGTTATAGATTCTGGTACTACGTAAAGTATGAAGAATGGAATCCATATAAAATGTTACAATTATTGAGCTACTATGCACAATAAACAAAAATCACATGAACAGTAAAAAACAAAGTAATAAAATATAACTACTATCTAGTTTCGGAATTTTTACTAATTCCTAGAATTTGAGACATCTTATATGATTGTTGGTTATCTTTAGAAATTCATTGGCAAAATGTTCAAAAAATATTGAGACATAATGTACATATGCTACAATTTTACAAAATAAGAGGGAAGATACATAATATATATTTACTAATGCATGCATAATATTAAAAAATCTAGATTTTATTGGCAACTTTGATTAAACTTGTATTTAATTTACAATAACAGATACAAAACTCGAAAGATACTAATAGTTCCAAGTTTTTATTTTTATACTTTTTAATATACTTTGACAGTTTAAAACATAAAAATCGTAAATCATTCAATGAGTTACGTATCTTGTTTAAAGGGAGCAGCATAAGGATTATAATCCATATAAAATATATTGCAAATATTCTATGACCTATTACCTAAAGAACACGGGCGATCTACAATACTATATTATACTGAAATGATAACTATGATAAAATAACTCCTGATCTTCAGCCTGTGATTGGTTGGGTTAAGTGATTAAAATTCATGAATACATAATAAAATGTGCATTTCGGTAATACACTTCACTAGTCATAATATTGTTATATGGCATACAACTGCGGAATTTATTTTTTCTGCACAGTTGATTTCTCGTTGCACCTGTTACTTTTTGTATCTTTTTTGTAACGTAATTTATTTTGTTTTCATGAAAAACGGTAAAAAGTAACGGACATTTTTGTGCTATTATTGTTGATATAGATTCACACCAGGTTGTTACCATATACAAATTTGTGTCCAGTATTATGATCACATTAGGTTGTTTAAATGACTCTAAACACGCATATCTGTGGTACAGTTCTGATACATATTCAACATAAAGTTTCTGATTATATTTACGGCACCTTGAACAAACAGTCCCTAGTTCACACGAATCGAATATTGGCGATTTTATAAATACAATATATAGTTCTTTTATATTAGAAAAGAGATGTAGGAAAATATGCCAAACCTTTAAACACATTATATCTGTTTCAGTTGCATCTATAATATGGACGATAAATTTATAATCATTACTCGGGAGAAATAACAATTTTGATTCTTGTAACGCGTAGTATAATGTCAGAGGACCTGTTACATAGTCCGAACACACATAATGTTCTAATGTCCAGAAACTTTGGATAGGGAAGTAAAATTTTTTTTTATTATTATCTAGTTCTTCCATGACTAAATACCTGTTAATAAATGTAATCATGTTATGATAGGGTCTAATATCAGGAAATTTGGTAAACTCCAGTTTGCTTAGACATAAATGCAAAAGATTGCTTTTCATACAGGCGATATTAATGTTCAATACTAGTAACAGCTCTTTACAGATATCCTTGTGTTCTAGATTAAATAACATTTGGTGATCATCACAATAATTAGCTGAAAAGCAAATGATGCATGGCTTTAAATTTATCTGTCGATGACACTTATAACACGATTTTGCGAATATTATCACATTTATATCTATCATATCTTTGAACATTTTGCGCACAGTCATTTTTGTTATAATTTTCGTCCGTGAACTTAACCATTTTGTAATATCTCCACATAAATTCCAATCCGATTTGTCTATTATTTTTGCTAAATTTCTGCAGAAATTCAGATGTGAGTCTTTATGTATCCTTTCATGGTTTTCAGAACAATAAAAAATCATATAGCACTGATTACATGGTATTAAATTTTTACTGGGCAGTTTGCAAACATGACAAACGTTTGGATTAAAAAATTGATTGTATTTGTCTGCTGTGTATGGCCCATCAAAAGTTATTATTCCTTCTATACTCATCGCGATATGTCTTAATGATTAATGTTTATGAGTATTTCATTTGTAAAATTTACTTCGACATAACGCGCGAAGCTCGACAACTCACCGAAACATGTATGTGAGTTATATATAAATGTTTAGCTGATAATAATACAAGGGACACTAATAATATATACAAGTATGTTTGTATGTAACGAAAAAGTTGTTGACAAGATAAATTGTAACTGCCAATATAACAAACTAGAAGTATTTGTTAGTGGAAAGAAACAATATTGCAAATATGGTATATATAATTAAATTGCTACAATTTCACTAGAAGAACAATGAAATAGTTATCACTCGTATAACACGGATACGTTTTAAAAATAATATTTATAAGTCTCAATAAAAAAACATTCATTACAAAAAACCTTATAAAATTTGTTACTTTTTGCAAAAAATATTTGGTTTGAAAAACATACAAAATAATGCTCTCAATTAAATGTATGGAGATAAATATGCGATTATCAATATTCATGTAAACATTTTTATATAATTAAGGAATAACTTCGAAGAAAACATATATATTAACGTGAGGCAGCTGTGTTTTTAATACAAATAAATTTTCTTCAAGCGTAAAAGAAAATGTGCAAGCATCACAAATATCAAAACAGATCTTAAAGATATTATAAAGACGTCTACAATAAATATAATATCATCAGACGTCTCTAAGATATCTTTTAGATTCTATATGTATATTTTGATTTAATAGGGTATGAACTCGTTTTCTCCAATACATTTGAAGATATAGCCGATAGTCTGTATTACGAAAGAACTTCTTCGCACAATGTCTAAAATCGGGACATGAGTCTGATATTCTGACGTCTTTATGACGTCTTATGCGTCGTCTATATTGGCAGTAGAAGTAGCAGTAAGAAATAAACAGTAAGCAAATTGATCAATTCCTTTCTCACGTTTAAAAAATAATCGATTGTGATTGATCTATTTACGTAATGCTTATTTCTTATTACTACTAATTACTACTACTCCTATTGCCATTGTAGACGACGCATTAGAATCTACAATCTCGGTATTAGCTTTAAGCCTTAAACAACTGATCAATTATAGTCAATTATTTTCCTTACGTCTCAAGAATAATCGATTGTGATTAGTCAGTTAGTAGTTGCTTATGATTTAAAGCTTAAAGCGAGGTAGTAGACCGAAACTTATATTCCGATTCTATATTGTTTGAGTTTTAACGTAATTACCTTAAGTTAAATTTTGTCATTGGATCATGTGTTATGTTCAAACGCGCATAGGAGATGTGTTCATATTGAAACAAACTGTGCATATGTTATATATTTAAAGGAAGAAGGGGGAAAATATAATATATTTGCAAATAAAACTATTAAAAATTCAAATTTTGTTTGCACCTATGTTTACAGTTACGAATAATATATAATAATCGATGGCACCAGTTTCGGATAATAGTTTCGGATATATTTTTCTGTATTTCGATATTTTTTTGGTAATTTTTATTGTAATATCAGTGTAATGAGTTATAGATTCTGGTACTACGTAAAGAATGAAGAGTGTAATCCATATAAAATGTTGCAATTATTCAGCTACTATGCACTATAAACAAAAATCACATGAACAGTAAAAAACAAAGTAATAAAATATAACTACTATCTAGTTTCGGAATTTTTACTAATTCCTAGAATTTGAGACATTTTATATGATTGTTGGTTATCTTTAGAAATTTATTGGCAAAATGTTCAAAAAATATTGAGACATAATGTACATATGCTACAATTTTACAGAAAAAGAGGGAAGATACATAATATATATTTCTTAATGCATGCATAATATTAGAAAATCTAGATTTTATTGGCAACTTTGATTAAACTTGTATTTAATTTATAATAACAGATACAAAACTCGAAAGATACTAATAGTTCAAAGTTTTTATTTTTATACTTTTTAATATACTTTGACAGTTTAAAAGATAAAAATCGTAAAACATTCAATGAGTTACGTATCTTGTTTAAAGGGTACAGCATAAGGATTATAATCCATATAAAATATATTGCAAATATTCTATGACCTATTACCTAAAGAACACGGGTGATCTACAATATTATATTATACTGAAATGATAACTATGATAAAATAACTCCTGATCTTCAGCCTGTGATTGGTTAGGTTAAGTGATTTAAATTCATGAATACATAATAAAATGTGCATTTCGGTAATACACTCCACTAGTCATAAAATTGTTATATGGCATACAACTGCGGAATTTATTTTTTCTGTACAGTTGATTTCTCGTTGCACCTGTTACTTTGTGCATGTTTTTTGTAATGTAATTTATTTTATTTTTTCTTATAATGGTAAAAAGTAACGGACATTTTTGTGCTATTATTGTTGGTATAGATTCAGGCCACTTTCCTGCCGAATACAAATTCATGTCCAGTATTATGATCACATTAGGTTGTTTAAATGACTTTAAACACGCATATCTGTGGTACGGTTCTGATACATATTCAACATAAAGTTTCTGATTATATTTACGGCACCTTGAACAAACAGTCCCTAGTTCACACGAATCGAATATTGGCGATTTTATAAATACAATATATAATTCTTTTATATTAGAAAAGAGATGTAGGAAAATATGCCAAACTGTTAAACACATTATATCTGTTTCAGTTGCACCTATAATATGGACGATAAATTTATAATCATTACTCGGGAGAAATAACAATTTTGATTCTTGTAACGCGTAGTATAATGTTAGAGGACCTGTTACATAGTCCGAACACACATAATGTTCTAATGTCCAGAAACTTTGGATAGGGAAGTAAAATTTTTTTTTATTATTATCTAGTTCTTCCATGACTAAATACCTGTTAATAAATGTAATCATGTTATGATAGGGTCTAATATCAGGAAATTTGGTAAACTCCAGTTTGCTTAGACATAAATGCAAAAGATTGCTTTTCATACAGGCGATATTAATGTTCAATATTAGTAACAGCTCTTTACAGATATCCTTGTGTTCTAGATTAAATAACATTTGGTGATCATCACAATAATTAGCTGAAAAGCAAATGATGCATGGTTTTAAATTTATCTGTCGATGACACTTATAACACGATTTTGCGAATATTATCACATTTATATCTATCACATCTTTGAACATTTTGCGCACAGTCATTTTTGTTAAAATTTTCGAACGTGAACTTAACCATTTTGCTAAATCTCCACATAAATTCCAATCCGATTTGTCTATTATTTTTGCTAAATTTCTGCAGAAATTCAGATGTGAGTCTTTATGTATCCTTTCATGGTTTTCAGAACAATAAAAAATCATATAGCACTGATTACATGGTATTAAATTTTTACTGGGCAGTTTGCAAACATGACAAACGTTTGGATTAAAAAATTGATTGTATTTGTCTGCTGTGTATGGCCCATCAAAAGTTATTATTTCTTCTATACTCATCGCGATATGTCTTAATGATTAATGTTTATGAGTATTTCATTTGTAAAATTTACTTCGACATAACGCGCGAAGCTCGACAACTCACCGAAACATGTATGTGAGTTATATATAAATGTTTAGCTGATAATAATACAAGGGACACTAATAATATATACAAGTATGTTTGTATGTAACGAAAAAGTTGTTGACAAGATAAATTGTAACTGCCAATATAACAAACTAGAAGTATTTGTTAGTGGAAAGAAACAATATTGCAAATATGGTATATACAATTAAATTGCTACAATTTCACTAGAAGAACAATGAAATAGTTATCACTTGTATAACACGGATACGTTTTAAAAATAATATTTATAAGTCTCAATAAAAAAACATTCATTACAAAAAACCTTATAAAATTTGTTGCTTTTTGCAAAAAATATTTGGTTTGAAAAACATACAAAAAAATGCTCTCAATTAAATATATGGAGATAAATATGCGATTATCAATATTCATGTAAACATTTTTATATAATTAAGGAATAACTTCGAAGAAAACATATATATTAACGTGAGGCAGCTGTGTTGTTAATACAAATAAGTTTCCTTCAAGCGTAAAAGAAAATATGCAAGCATCACAAATATCAAAACAAATCTTAAAGATATTATAAAGACGTCTACAATAAATATAATATCGTCAGACGTCTCTAAGATGTCTTTTAGACATTTATGATATATAGATAGAATTAACAACTTTCGTCGCAACTTACTACATAATGATGTAAATGATACTCTGTGGGAAATTGTAAATAATATTATGGCATAAATATTATGATGATCGAGTTATTGCACACACAATTTTTATTATTAATTTGATAGAAAAGAAAACAAGGAAACATATTTAGCGCAATCATTATACTACATTATGTACATTTTGATTTAATAGGGTATCAACTCGTTTTCTCCAATACATTTGAAGATATAGCCGATAGTCTGTATTACGAAAAAACTTCTTCGCACAATGTCTGAAATCGGGACATGAGTCTGATATTCCGACGTCTAAGTGACGTCCTTATTACGTCTTTATGCGTCGTCTATTTTGGCAGTAGTAGTAGAAGTAAGAAATATGCAGTAAGCAAATTGATCAATTCCTTTCTCACGTTTAAAAAATAATCGATTGTGATTGATCTATTTACGTACTGCTTATTTCTTATTACTACTAATTACTACTATTCCTATTGCCATTGTAGACGACGCATTAGTATCTACAACCTTGCTTTAAGTTTTAAGTCTTAAGCAACTGATCAACCATAGTCAATTATTTTCCTTACGCCTCAAGAATAATCGATTGTGTTTAGTCAGTTAGTAGTTGCTTATGATTAAAGCTTAAAGCGAGGTTGTAGACCGAAACTTATATTCCGATTTTATATTGTTTGAGTTTTAACGTAATTATCTTAAGTTAAGTTTTGTCATTGGATAATTTATTATGTTCAAGCGCACATAGGAGATATGTTCATATTGAAACAAATTGCGCATATGTTATATATTTAAAGGAAGAATAGAGATAATATAATATATTTGGAAATAAATTTATTAAAAAATTCAAATTTTGTTTGCAGCTATGTTTACAGTTACGAATAATATATAATAATCAATAGCACCAGTTTCGGATAATAGTTTCGGATAATAGTTTTGGATAATAGTTTCGGATATGTTTTTCTGTGTTTCGATATTTTTTTGGCAATTTTTATTGTAATATCAGTGTAATGAGTTATAGATTCTGGTACTACGTAAATTATGAAGAATGTAATCCATATAAAATGTTACAATTATTCATCTACCATGCAGAATAAACAAATATCACACGAACAGTAAAAAACGAAGTAATTAAATATCCAAGTACTGGCCAGTATCAGAATTTTTACTAATTCCTAGAATTCGAGACTTTTAGGATTGTTGGTTATCTTTAGAAATGTATTGGCAAAATGTTTAAAACTATGTTAAAAAATATTGAGACAAAATGTAAATGGGCTACAATTTTACAGAAAAAGGGGGAAGATACATAATATATATTTACTAAAATGCATGTATAATATTAAAAAATATAGATTTTATTGGCAACTTTGTTTAAACTTGTACTTAATTTACAATAACAGATACAAAACTTGGAAGATACTAATAGTTCTAAGTTTTTATTTTTATACTTTTTAATATACTTTGACAATTTAAAACATAAAAATCGTAAAACATTCAATGGGTTACGTATATCGTTAAAGGTATAGCATAAGAATTATTATCTATATAAAATATATTTCAAATATTCTATCACCTATTATCTAAAGAATACGGATGATCTACAATACTATATTATACTGAAACGAAAACTATGATAAAATAAATCCTGATCTTCAGCCTGTGATTGGTTGGGTTAAGTGATTTAAATTCATGAATATATAATAAAATACTGATTTCGGTAATACACTCCACCATTCACACAGTTTCTATATGGCCTACAACCGCGGAATTTATTTTTTCTGTTCAGTTGATTTCTTGTTGCACCTGTTACTTCTTGCATCTTTTTTATAACGCATTTCATTTTATTTTCATGAAAAGCGGTAAAAAGTAAAGGACATTTTTGTGCTATTATTGTTGATATAGATTCACACCAAGTTCCTCCCACATAGAAATTCATGTCCAGTATAATGATCACATTAGGTAGTTTGAATGACTCTAAGCACGCATATTTGTGGTACGGTTCTGACACATTTTCAACATAAAGTTTCTGATTATAATTACGGCACCTTGAACAAACAGTCCCTACTTCACACGAATCGAATATTGGCGATTTTATAAATACAATATATAGTTCTTTTATATTAGAAAAGATATGTAGGAAAATATGCCAAACTGCTAAACACATTACATCTGTTTTAGTTGCATCTATAATATGGACAATAAATTTATAATCATTACTCGGGAGAAATAACAATTTTGATTCTTGTAACGCGTAGTATAATGTCAGAGGACCGGTTACAAAATCCGAACACACATAATGTTCTAATGTCCAGAAACTTTGGATAGGGGAGTAAAATTTTTTTTTATTATTATCTAGATCTTCCATGACTAAATACCTGTTAATAAATGTAATCATGTTATGATAAGGTCTAGCATCAGGGAATTTGCTAAACTCCAATTTAGCTAGGCATAAACGCAAAATATTACCTTTTATACAGGCGATATTAATGTTCAGTGATAGTAACAGCTCTTTACAGATATCATTATGTACTAGATTAAATAGCATTTGGTGATCATCACAAAAATTAGCTGAATAGCAAATGACGCATGGCTTTATGTTTATCTGTCGATAACACTTGAAACATGATTTTGCGCATATTATTAATTCTAAATCGTGCTCGTATATTGTGATCTGAACTTTTGTGATTTTACTTAAAATTTCCAATCGTGTTTCCATCCATTTTGTCCAATCACGACATGTGTTCCAATCCGATTTGTCTCCTATTATCCTTGTTAGAATTTTGCAGAATGCCAGATGTGAGTCTTCATGTATCTTTTCATGTTTCTTGGAACAATAAGAAACCATATAGCACTTATTACACGGTATTAAATTTTTGCTAGGCAATTTGCAAACATGACAAATGTTTGGATTAAAAAACCGATTATATTTCTTTGTTGTATATGGTCCATCAAAAGTTATTATTTCACCCACACTCATTGTGATATGTCTTAGTAATTAACGTTTATGGGTATTTTATTTGTAATATTTATTTCGATATAATACGCAAAGTTCAACAACTCACTGAATATAACAGAAACATGTATGCGAGTTATATATAGATGTTTAGCTGATAATAATACAAAGGAGACTAATAACGGATACAAGTATGTTTGTATGTAACGAAAAAGTTGTTGATAAGGTAAATTGTAACTGCCAATATAACAAACTAGAAGTATTTATTAACAAAGTATTTATTAACAAGTATTTATTAACAATATTGCAAATATGGTACATACAATGGAATTTCTACAATTTCACTAGAAGAACAATGAAATAATTATAACTCGTATAGCACGGATACGTTTTAAAAATAATATTTGTAAGTCTCACTAAAAAGCATACATTACAAAATATCTTATAAAATTTGTTGCTTTTTGCAAAAAATATTTTGTTTGGAAAACATACAAAAAATTCTCTCAGTTAAATATATGGAGATAAATATGCGATTATCAATATTCATGTAAACATTTTTATATAATTAAGTAATAATTACGAAGAAAATATACATATTAAGATGTAAGGCAGCTGTGTTGTTAATAGAAATAAATTTTTTTCAAGCGTAAAAGAAAATATGCAAGCAACACCAATATCTAAAACACATCTTAAAGACATTATGAAGATGTCTACAATAAATATAATATCGTTCAGACGTCTCTAAGATGTCTTTTAGATATTTATAATATATAGATAGAATTAACAACTTTCGTCGCAACTTACTACATAATGATATAAATGATACTCTGCGGAAAATTGTAAAGTTATAGCATAGCATAGATATTATAATGATTGAGTTATTGCACATACAATTTTTATTATTAATTTGTTGGAAAAGAAAGCAAGGAAACATATTTGGTACAATCATTATACTACTATGAGTATATTTTGATTTAATAGAATATGAACTCGGTTTCTCCAATATATTTGAAGATATAGCCAATATTACAAAAGAACTGCTTCGCACAACGTCTAAAATCGGGACATGAGTTTGATATGCCGACGTCTAAGGGACATCTTTAAGGTGTCTTTATATGCTTCGTCTATATTGGCAGTAGGAGTAGTAGTAAGAAATAAGCTGTGAGCAAATAGACCTATTCTTTTCTCACGATTAAAAAATAATCGATTGTGATTGGTCTATTTACTTACTGTTTATTTCTTGCTACTATTACTGCTTCTTATTACTACTTTTACTGCCATTGTAGACGACGCATTAGCACCTACAACCCCGCTTTAAGCTTTAAGTCTTAAGCAACTGACCAACAATAGTCAGTTATTTTCCTTACGTCTCAAGAATTATCGATTGTGATTAGTCATTTAGTAGTTGCTTATGATTTAAAGCTTAAAGCGAGGTTGTAGACCGAAACTTATGTTCCGATTTTATATTGGAGTTTTTATGTAATTACCTAAAGTTAAGTTTTGTCATTGGATAATTTGTTACGTTCAAGCGCACATAGGAGATGTGTTCATATTGAAACAAACTGAGCATATGTTATATATTTAAGAGAAGAAGGGAGAAAATATAATATATTTGCAAATAAAACTATTAAAAATTCAAATTTTGTTTGCAGCTACGTTTACAGTTACGAATAATATATAATAATCGATGGCTCCAATAATAGTTTCGGATATGTTTCTGTATGTGTCGATATTGTTTTGGCAATTTATATTGTAATGTCAATGTAATGAGTTATGGATTCTGGTACTACGTAAAGAATAAAGAATGTAATCCAATTATTCAGCTACCATACATAAAAAACAAAAATTACACGAACAGTAAAAAACGAAGTAATTAAATATCCAAGTACTGTCCAGTATCGGGATTTTTACTAATTCCTAGAATTTGAGACTTCTTATATGATTATTGGTTATCTTTAGAAATGCATTGGCAAAATATTCAAAAATATTGAGACAAAATGTACATGTGCTACAATTATACAGAAAAATGGAGAAGATACCTAATATATTTTTACTAATGCATGCATGATATTAAAAAATCTAGATTTTATTGGCGACTTTGATTAAACTTGTATTTAATTTATAATATCAGATAAAATCTCGGAAGATACTAATAGTTTTAAATTATTATTTTTATACTTTTTAATGTACTTTGACAGTTTAAAACATAAAAATCGTAAAACATTCAATGAGTTACGTATATTGTTTAAAGGGTAAGCATAAGGATTATAATTTATATAAAATATATTGCAAATATTTTATCACTCATTACCTAAAGGACACGGATGATCTACAACACTATACTATACTGAATTGAAAACTATGATAAAATAACTCCTGATCTTCAGCCTGTGATTGGTTGGGTTAAATGATTTAAATTCATGAATACATAGTAAAATGCGCGTTTCGGTAATACACTCCACCAATCACACAGTTTCTATATGGCCTATAACTGCGGAATTTATTTTTTCTGTACAGTTGATTTCTTGTTGCACCTGTTATGTCTTGCATCTTTTTTATAACGTATTTTATTTTATTTTCCATAAAAGCGGTAAAAAGTAACGGACATTTTTGTGCTATTAGTGTTGATATAGATTCACACCAGGTTCCTACCGAATACAAATTCATGTCCAGTATTATGATCACATTAGGTTGTTTAAATGACTTTAAGCCCGCATATCTGTGGTACGGTTCTGATACATTTTCAACATAAAGTTTCTGATTATATTTACGGCACCTTGGACAAATAGTCCCTAGTTCACACGAATCGAATTTTGGCGATTTTATAAATACAATATATAATTCTTTTATATTAGAAAAGATATGTAGGAAAATATGCCAAACTGCTAAACACATTACATCTGTTTTAGTTGCATCTATAATATGGACAATAAATTTATAATCATTACTCGGGAGAAATAACAATTTTGATTCTTGTAACGCGTAGTATAATGTCAGAGGACCGGTTACAAAATCCGAACACACATAATGTTCTAATGTCCAGAAACTTTGGATAGGGGAGTAAAATTTTTTTTTATTATTATCTAGATCTTCCATGACTAAATACCTGTTAATAAATGTAATCATGTTATGATAAGGTCTAGCATCAGGGAATTTGCTAAACTCCAATTTAGCTAGGCATAAACGCAAAATATTACCTTTTATACAGGCGATATTAATGTTCAGTGATAGTAACAGTTCTTTACAGTTATTCTTATGTTCTAAATTAAATAGCATTTGGTGATCATCACAATAATTTGCTGAATAGCAAATGACGCATGGCTTTATGTTTTCCTGTCGATAACATTTAAAACACGATTTTGCGCATATTACTATTTCTAAATCGTGCTCGTGCAATCTGTTCTGAAATCCTATTTTTACAATTGCCATCCGTGATTCCATCCATTTTCTCCAATCACGACATGTGTTCCAATCCGATTTGTCTCCTATTATCCTTGTTAGAATTTTGCAGGATGTCAGATGTGAGTCTTCATGTATCTTTTCATGTTTCTTGGAACAATAAGAAACCATATAGCACTTATTACACGGTATTAAATTTTTGCTAGGCAATTTGCAAACATGACAAATGTTTGGATTGAAAAACCGATTATATTTCTTTGTTGTATATGGTCCATCAAAAGTTATTATTTCGCTCACACTCATCGCGATATGTCTTAGTAATTAACGTTTATGAATATTTTATTTGTAATATTTATTTCGATATAATGTACAAAGCTCGACAACTCACCAAATATAACAGAAACATGTATCCGAGTTATATATAGATGCTTAGCTGATAATAATACAAAGGAAACTAGTAACGGATACAAGTATGTTTATATGTAACGAGGAAATTGTTGACAACATAAATTGTAACTGCCAATATAACTAACATGAAGTATTTGTTAGTGGAGAGAAACAATATGGCCAATGTGATACGTACAATGGAATTGTTTCAATTTCTACAAAGACAATGAAATAGTTATTAGCGGTACGACGCCGATATGTTTTGGGAATAGTATTTATAAGTGTCAAAAAACAAGTTACGTTAAAAATATGTTACTCTTTCGCAGAAGTATCTTTATTTGAAAAACAAAGAAATGATGTTTCTCTGAAAAATATATCGAGATAATTATGCGACTATCAATATTTATGTAAAAAATTTTATATAATTAAATAATAACTACGAAAAAGATATATATTAAAACTTGAGGAGCTGTGTTGTGAATACATATAAATTTCTTTTAACTATAAAAGGAAATATTTAAACAGCACAATTGTATAAAACACATCTTAGCGACGTTATAAAGATGTCTACAACAAATAAAGTATCGCTCAGGTGTCTCTAAGATGTCTTTTCGACATTTATGATATATAGATAGAATTAACAACTTTCGTCGCAACTAACTTACTACATGATTATGCATATGATATTCCACGGAAAATTGTAAATTTATAATATAACACAGATACTATAATGATCGAGTTGTGGCACATACAATTTTTATAATACGTTAATAAGAGAAACAAATCTACAGAGGTAATTATTTATAATTCAGACTTTTCCGAATTCTAATTTTTTCTGTGGCAATTATTTCTTGCTAAAGATATTTGTTGTCATTGTGATAGCAATAATCAATGGGAGAGAGAGGGAGCAAGAAAAGTAATTTATCTAGAAAATACAAAAGAAATTGAACATAAATTGAGAAAATACAATGTATAATGTATGTATAATGTATGTTATGTAGTAAATTATCAAGGATTTTGTTTTATTCAAAAGTTTGTTATATTCAAAAGTGCTACTCCATAAAAAGCCGTTGTTTTTTGTTGCGGAACTTGAGAGAAATAGCTACAATAACATGTATACAAGATTTTAAGGGGGACTTACGATTTTTATAGTAAATATCTGTGGTCACTTGTGCATACAAACAGTGCACGAATTAGAAATATATTTGGACATGTATAAGTAACGAAGCTTTATTGAAACATTAGCATTATTTAAACATTGCAAACGATAAATTTGCGGTCTAGGGGGGTGTGAGGCGGCGAAGTCCCCCCTTCCCCCGGTTTGATAACATTCTAAAAAAAACGAAATGTACATCTCACATAGTGTTAAACGTGTATTGTTTTTATATACGGTTCATACGTCTTACCTTGCGTAGGGTCTTGCTAAGCTTTTCAGTATCTATTTTAGTATATAGTAGAATCATACATTTAGTAAGGCGAAGATTTAGTAGATCATTCTCCCTTGCGTAGGGATCTTGTTAATCTTTTCGGTATTAACAATTTTTAATATATTGGAGACTCATTTATTTAGTAAGGTGAAGATTTAATAGATATATTTATAGAAATGTCGATGTGACAGATTTCATAATCGGAGGTGAGATGTCTAAATCTTCTTAAACAAATCTAAGAATTTTGCTCTGTGTGCTGTAATGTTTGCTAAATATGATCCATACATGTTTCGCGCGTAATACACAGATCATAGGTGACTTACGATTGTAAACATGACATTTACATATTTAAATCAACAAATATTTCATCGCATATCGATCTAAAATTCGTAGATTTGTCTAGGAAAGGAGCATAGTACGAATAGAGATATGTAAATTTATTTAAACATTTTTGGTATTAAACGTTGTTGTCGGTGGAAATCCATTTACGGACATTTAATTGATATCATTTGGAGTATTTTTGCCAAAATTTATGCCAATCGGGCGTGGGTAGTTTTCGGAAGTTTATTCAAAATTACTTATATTTATGATAACGTTCATGAGTATTTTATTTGTAATGTTTATGTCGATATAATTCTCGAAGCTCGAATATAACTCATCAAATATAACTGAAACATGTATGAGGGTTATATATAGATATTTAGCCGATAATAATAGAAGGGACACTAATAACGGATACAAGTATATTTGTATATAACGAACAAATTGTTCACAACATAAATTGTAACTGCGAATATAACAAATTAGTAGTATTCGTTTGTAGTGAGAAGCAATATGGCAAATATAATATATCCAACGGAATTGCTTCAATTTCACTAGAAAAAAAATGAAATAGTTATAACTCAAATTGACTTGGTCAATTTCCTTGCGATCTTGCGATTGCGAGCCATTTTGAATTTCGACAATCTGAGGTCAGATTCCTAAGGGTTAAGGGGCGCCGCAAACGAATTGA